GGTGGTGGCTGCGGCGGAAAAGGAGGTGGAACCGACGCGCGGGTCGTACGGGACTCATTCAAAAAAGAAGTGAACATCATGAGCAAGCTGCGGCATCCAAACGTGGTCATGTTCATGGCGGCATGTACGCGTCCGCCGCACCTGGCCATCGTCATGGAGTACATGGCACTCGGGTCGGTCTTTGAGTTGCTGCACAATGAGCTCGTCGTCGCTCTGCCTATGGAGCTGTGCGTGAAGCAGTGCTACCAGGCGGCCAAGGGCATGCATTTTCTCCACTCAGCAGACATTGCACATTGCGACCTCAAGTCGCTCAACCTGCTGCTTGACGCCAAGTGGAATGTCAGGGTGGCCGACTTTGGCCTCAGCAGCGTGCGCAACGCCGTTGAACGCAACTGGGCGGGTTTTGTTGGCAGTGTGGCGTGGACTGCGCCTGAGGTGCTCAACAAGATGCCTGATGCTGATTACGTGCTTGCTGATGTCTATTCGTTTGGCATTGTCATGTGGGAAATGCTCACGCGCCGCGTGCCTTATGAGGGCCTCTCGCCTGCGCAGATTGCAATCCAGGTCATCTGCGATGGCCGGCGCCCCACCTTTCCGACCGCCCTCAGCAGGGCCATCAACGGCAGTAGTGACGATGATGACGACGAGGACGACGACCGCAAGGACTGCAACGAAGATGGCGACGACAACACGGGCAGTACGCATCGCAAGGACAATGACAATGGGCAGCGAGATGGCGATATCGATCAAACGCAGAGCATCGACAATGTGGTCATAACCATGCAAATGCGCCAGTACGCAGCGCTGCTCATGCGATGCTGGCACAACGACGCGCAAATGCGGCCTGCGTTCATCGACATCATGTCCGAGCTCAACAGCATCCTCAACACCTACGGCCAAAACATCGCAGGACGCTCGCGGACCGCGCACGCGCGATTCAACAGCGCACACAGCATCACTACCAAGAGCACGAGCCAGCATGCGAGTTTGTCAGCCATCTCGGATAACGCGGTGCCGACACCCCGCGTCCACCCCAGCAAACGCGTACACGCCCGTACGGCGTCAGTGTCATCTTCTTGTACATTGGCCTCGTCGGGGGCGGGCACTGTCACGGAATCATCCCATGGTACCACGTCGACGGCAGACGACGCCGTTGCTTTCCCCCCT